TGCATCAAAAATAATCAAAACGGGTTTATTAATCAAAATATTTTTGAAATCCTCAACAGTTTTTTAATGTGCATCCGTCCACAGCCATTGACTATTTTTTTATCAATTTTGTTAGTATACTAGCTTTTTGTGCAAATTTATCAATGAACTTTTTAAAGTAACTCACCGAACCGAGGAACTGACGTAATTGATGAATGTTTTGTGGAGTAGGAAAATTTTGTACAGATTTTACCTTATTGTTACCAGGACGAATACCTGATTCATCAATTTCATAGCCTAGAAAGAGTAAACTAGTTTGTAGAAAGGAACATTTGTCCAAATTTAACGTTAAATGATTTTCCTTTGAAATTTGGAAGACATTTTGTAAAGTTTCAATATTTTCTGCCTTAGTTTTAGTTGCAATCAAGATATCATCGGGGTATATTATAATTTTATCAAATCTTCTATACAAGGGAGAGGAGATTTTTCTTTAATAGTGATTTTGTTAAGAGATCTGTAATATTAGCTGCTCTCACAGCCGACGCAACCGTGTCATCCCCGATTGCGCCAACAATGAGTGACACTTTATCAGCGTCTGAAAAATTCACTTTCAATGCTTCTATTTTAGCTAGATGATCGAAATGAAAACTGTACAATGATTCCTCCTCAAATAGTTTGTGATTCGCAACTTCCATAAAAAATTTATGGGTGTTCCTAACAGACTGAAATGTGGTAGAAATATTTTTTTTTCCATTTAGCCCACGAATAATTCGCCCAACCGATTTCCGTATGAATATAAGTTTGAAACCATTGTGATGCAGTATTTCCAAGTTTACTCAAAGCAATAGTTTTTGTTGTATTATCGTCCCATTTAAAACATGTTGCATGTTGATCCACAATACTTAACCAGTCTCTAACCGAATCAGACTTTGGGTCAAATTCAGAAATTGTAGAAACATTTTTCGACTCACCTCTTTCACAAAAATCAAAATAGGTGCTTCTTACCCTGGACCTCCGACCTTTACGTTTACCCGATTTCTCTCTATGTGCTCGTCGTTTCGGTTCACTGCTGCTAGACGACTCTCCAGAACTTGATGAAGATGAAGATTCTGAGGAACTCGACCTCCTACGGCGTTTTGTTGATCGCCGTCCTGCCATCTTCAAACATTCAACGTGGAGCGTAAGAAAAAAAAAACGACGTAGATCCCACTTCTGAGATGTTAGGAATGCCTCACTGGCTAACAACGATATTGAAACACTTATAACACCACCAACTTTATAACATTTATTAGTCTATTCAACAACAATGTCAGTTTCAGACTGCCCCACTTAAACATATTTCAACCCACAAAGGAATGTATCATCCTCTTATGTAAACCTATCAGGTGATATTCAGGGCTGTCCCATCCAGTACTACCAACAAGATAATGTCCAGGGATGTACAGAGCTCTGATCCTAACGCACTCCCTAACAGTAGTTACTATAGTTTATAAAGCTGGTAGTAAAAATGAATTTCAGAAATTACCATCCCATCTCTGTAATAAGTAAGTTCGCAAATATGTTTAAAACATACTTTAAAATATCGATTGGTTGAATTTTTCGAATTCCATCATGTCATAACAAAAAAACAATTCTGTTCGATACTCTGAAAGAAATTAGATTTTTAATTATGGAATATCATTAACGTTAGGTTGATGCTGGCCACTTCCTTGTACTGATGAGAGGCCAAATAGCCCGAAAATGTTGTGCAAGTGTGTCAGTTCCTATAATTGAAAATTGATTCCAGTCATGAATTTCAGAAGTTTCTCTTCTGATTATTGAATAAATTTGTGCAGATATAATTGTGGCCTTGAAGTATGTGTCCATAAATTTCGTTTCTGTTACAAACAATACTGAATTTTTTCCGCTATCACTGTTTGATCCTGAAGCAATGTCCCCATTCAATGCACTGAATTTGTTCTCTCCAAATGTAGCAAAATATGGCGCTTTTGGTGCGCACTATACACGATCGCTCGTTAAGATAACTTCTTACGCTGTGTTCATTTGACAATTATAGCACCAACCATTGTCTCTAAAAGCTTCATATCTTTATCCCTGTGCCAAAAATCTAAACCCGTCACTTCTACCCAAGTAATGGCCTAACTTATTTGTAACATATTTGTCTGATTCTGTATGAATTATTTTGTTTCACTCCAGAAGCTTCAACGAAATCATAATACAATTCAGCCAAAGCCTGATTAGGCAAAGTAAAGTCTGTTAAATCTGGTTTATTTTTTCAGTGCTTAGACAGCTGCATCGAATATTTGTGTGAATAAATTTCAATTCCTCTCAGGTTCTCCTTTCAAAAGCTTGAAATAAAAAATTTGTTGCAAATAACTGTCCGCTAACTTTCGTTTGCGGTCACACTTGAGGAGGCTATTGTGTAGTGAAACACGCGTTGCGGTTTTGTAAACTTTGCAGTGGAAATATCAATTATCTGATAATTCCGTCACATATTCAAATATTCAGGAATTCTTTGTTGACGTTGATCGATCCTGACCACGCTTCATTTCACCTTCAAATTTTCAGCAATATGTTATCTAATTTGATCAAATCGGCCGATACTTAACAAAAATCAATAACGTTTTCAAAAAGCACTTCATATGATATCGACTTTACTTTTTTTTCAATCAGTTTGAATTTCTGATATTACCCCATTTACGAACGGATCTCAACCTATCCAACCAATTCTGATTCAGATTTTTATTTGAATCTAATTCATCCAACCAATCCCAAACGACTTTAGATTTCTTCAAAACTTTCAAACCCATAGGCTTCACTTTGCATTCATCCCGACCAATCGCGATTCCAACAGGGAATCAACGAAATCATCTCTTCTCCACATATCTCTACCCAGTTTGACTTTTGGTAACCATCCGACCAATACCAATCGAAAATTAGATGTTTTTACCAGCTTCAAATCGGTCGAAATCAATTGCAACCAGGCCTGTTATACAGTCCCCTTTTTTAACTGGGAACAAAAGTTTTCTATTCTGGGGAAATGAAATAATTTTTTTTCGGTTCAAGAATATTAGTGATTATTTTTGAAATGTTGGCAATAAACAAGAATTGTCGAATTTCGTTTTATGGCTCTACCGCCTTCATTTCGAATAACATAAAAAAGAGTGTATTTTAGACCACACGACTGAAATAAAACTTCCCCAGCTCCAGTGTTACTATTTTCCGGGTTAAAAGGCAGTGGATTTTTGGAATTTCTTCTTAACGTGTCGCTGGCACGATTGGCTAACTTCCTCAGAGGTTTATAGATCTTGAGTTAATATATCCGATGACTGGATATTACCGCTGCGAAACGTGTATTTATATTAAACTCCTCAGGTAGTTTGGTGTGTTAATGCCTGTACATGGTTTAGGTAAATTACGTAAAGCGTGCTCATGTTGATTCATATAAGTAGTCTGGTGTCATAAAAGCTGTACCTAGATTTGTTGAATTGTCAATCACATTCGATGACAGCCGTCATGCTGTTTCTTATTTTTGAACTTCTCAAAATGGGATTCCATTTTCGATTGAGGCTCACTGCTTCTTCTTTTCTGATGGCATTATCCGTTTGTTAGTGCCTCCCGTACCAGTCAGCTATGGTATCCCTGGTCGGGGGCAATGAGTTTCGTGTTTTCGAACTGAATTCTGTGGTTTCCTTCCCTAAGTGCGTGTTCTGCCACATCTGAAAAATCCGTTTGGCTTATTCTGCAGTTTGTTTCATGCTCCTTCAGACTTGTTTCCATGGATCTTTAATATTAACAATAAATTACACGAAAAAAAAACTTTCGAAACAGCTACTTTTCATTCAGTGTGTACTCCAAACATTCCCTATGGAAGATGGAAGATAGAATAGTAGAAAGCCAACACATTTCTTTCCCATTGTCTTCATTATTTCATCAATACTACAAGAACATTTGTAACACGAATAAATCAAGCACTAGTGGTATTACAACCTTAAATTAAAAAAAAAATCAATGTTTAAGTCGTCAGCCAGTCGTTTGCCAGTGAAAATCTGGAAAAACTTTCAGGATTATTTTAGGTGTTCTTTTTTTAATTTCATCACATATAAGAGTCTAAGTATTCGGAGAGTATCGTATAGTTTGATAGTATTTTCAAGGAATTGGCCGATACTTGATGAAAATCTATAACTAACGTATTCAAAAAACACTTTATTGTGAGACTTTCACTAAACAGTTTCACAAAACACGTATTTCGTCATACAATGGCTTCTTTGGGAGTGTCTTTACTGGATATTTTGGCTTTTGTTACCCTGTTTTTATGCACGCACTAGTATATGAATTCCAGTCGACGCTATCTGCATCTCATTCTAACCTATATCTATTACTCTCTTTCTGTGCATGACTGTGCACGAATGAGAGCAAGCGATTTTCTACTTTATTCCATTATTTCCAACTTCTATTCATCGGTTTTATATAAAAGTCTCATGGCGCAAGACTATATTCTCAAGCGTTCTAGGCAAAAAATGCGTTTGAAAGTGTGATTCTTTTTGTATATGTTGACCGATGAAACTGTAATAAAATCTGAATCACGAACGCTAGCAACGCGATCGAGACCTCAAACGAAAGTTGCTGAAAAACTATAACGATGCTTCTACGAAAAAAGCCCGATTTTCTCATCTGAACAACTGAAAAGGCAATTTTCTCATAATATCGCGCCTTTTCCCTGATTCTAAATTTACTTTCATCTTAAAAACTGCCACTATTCAATAATTTCAGATTCTCTTTGTAGATCAATTGAAAGTATTTGAAATACCAGACGACACATGCTATAATATACTACGTCAAATGTTGTATTTAACAAGCATTCAGTTCATAAAATTCATATATTCATCTTCAACATATTAATTTGGAAATGTTACTTTCATAAGAGTTATGTTTCTTCCCGTATATTTTCTTGGGTTTTATTAAATGATTAGTTCAATTTATCCTGACTTATAAGATGTATTAGCAGTGTGTTTTTTCAGATATTTAAGAGATACTCAACATTTCATTGATAAACGACGTGTGGCTATTTGGGGCTGGAGTTATGGTGGATTCGTAGCATCCTTAGCATTAGCAAGTAGTAAAAACGTATTCCAGTGTGCTATAGCAGTATCACCAGTTACCAACTGGAAACTTTACGGTATGTGCACTTTCAATATTATGAAATTAGCTTGATACCTAACCTAAAAACAAATGTCTATTTACAGTTATAGTAGCAAATGTTTATAAATGAAATTATATCAACAGCCAACTGAAACATCAGGAATATACAGTGCGATCGTGGATAGCCCCCTCCTCTGAACTTTTGAAAGGGGCAAGATATCGAAGTCGTGAGAAATTTGTTTGGAAATTTCTTTGCAGTACTTTATGGTTAAAGAACCAGTAGGCGCCGAGAGGTCGCTGTCATTTTTTTAATGGAAAAAAGGATCATCTGACATATTTCAATTTTCTATAAAATGATCTTCGTATTTTTTTTATTTCCATACCCGGTTGCAGAGTTATTGATGTTTAGATTTGGAACTAGATATTTTGCAACTCCACCACCACCCTATGTCAGATTTTTGAAACAAATGTTCATTGGGAAGAACAATAAATTAGTATCGCCTTTTGGAATAGGTAACTGTTGATTTCAAGGGCTTGAAACGATAGCATACATTTCTATGAAAGCATTTTGTATCATACCCGGCATTATTTTTCATATATGCAAAAAAATTCAGTGTCATTATTTTTTGGATTTGAAGGCTGTGGATTTTTGGAATTTATTCCTGACGATTCGCTGGCGCAAGTGGTTAGCTTCTTCAAAGATTTATCTTGGGTAATTTCCTATAACTGAAAATAACGACAGGTGACTCGTCACTAAAATTCATTGACCTTTTTCTATCTGCCGTAATGTGTTTGCAATTCTTGAACTCCTTAGAATGGGATTCCACATTCGATTGAAGTTAACCGCTTCTTTTCTGTTGAAATTATTCGTGTGTTTGTGGATCTCTTTCACCTCCTTGCAAATCGTGACAGTCGACTATGGTATATCTGTGGTTTCCTTGACTGAGTGCGTGTTCTGCCACAGCCGACTTGTCCGTTTGACCTATTCTGCAGTTTCTTTTATGATTCTTCAGCCTTGTTCTCATGGATCTTCTGGTGGTTTCGATGTATACCTTCCCACAAGTGCACGGTATGCGATAAATTCCTGCTGCACTCAGTGAAGGAAAACAAAATACTTTTTATGCAGTTTCGATTTGCAACTGAACATTAACTCACAAAAGTACATTCTTCTGTTTAGTTTCCGTTTATAGAGGAAAAACTTATGTCTTTCGAGGTATTACTTGATGGTGGTTAAAGAGATCATTCTCGAGAGCAACTGTTGTCGTGGACTGCATGGTGCTGTTCAATATAGACGCAAAGATTTCTATCTATTAATCGCTCGAAATAGATTTTCTTTCAGCTCCGGCTACACTTTCAGACTTTTGAAGTGTTTTATCCAATTCCCTGCTATTTTTTCGACAAGATTGGATTATGAGAAAATCTTGCATTGAACACTATTTCTGCCTCATGAAAATTACATTTGGCCTTGACGTAAGGAAAGGATTATTTTTATTTTCACTCTGAAAAGATCTGGCGCGAACCAGTTTTGAAAATTTGAATGAAATGAAGCGAATTCTCAGTATCGGAAGTAACACTTGTCAAGCTAACACAATACTCTCTGTTACTATGGTTACAAGGTGTAGATTCTCAACTACATAGGTAGTCGACCATAAAAAACCTAAAATATATTTAAAATAGAAATGTATTATTTTGGAATATTTTAGTAAAATTTTATTCAAAATACGATTCACTTACGTGAACGACGCATAACAAACTGTTACCTGTGATGTTACTGGTGTTACCTGTGAAAATTAACTCTAGAGCTGTTTCAATCGTCATTTGGATGCAAAGTTATGAATTAGAATTTTTCCTGGTTTCCAATCCATGCATCAATGATTCAGTGACTGGTTACCCAAATTCAAAAAATAATGGTCATTGTATATATAATTGGAATACCCTCCGAGCTTTATTGCTAGAGAAATGTGGGCTTTTACAGCTGGCGTAAATATTTGGTTGGTTTTCGATTTTGTCGTGGTTTTCTTCAATTATGATTTCGAAACGTTTCAACTGCAACTGCGGTAGTCATCTTCAGTGGCGGGTCGAAGTACTCTTCTTGACATTTCAATCAAGTTTCAGTTGATACGTCGGCGACTATTTTTTTTTTCATCAAAATATTGGAACAACATCTAGAATTCTTGATGATAGAATAACTTCACATAAAAGTGAAATAAAACTAAATGAAAAATCATGCGCATTAGCACAATATTCTATAGAAACAGGACATAAACCAAATTACTCTAATATCAAAGTTTTGCATACAGAAAAAAATATTTCTAAACCCCTTTTTCTTGAAATGATTGAAATTAATAAGTCTTCTGTTTGTATGAATAAGAAAACTGACATTGATAATCTCAGCAATATATACAGTAACTTACTGGAACTACATCAAAAATAATGATAATAATGAAAATTGTATCAATCAATAACTCTTTCTCAAAGTCAAAGATTATGAAATCATCATACACATTGAAAAATGACATTTATGTGAAGGTATGACATTTGTTAAAACCAAAAAATCTTATACATGTTCAACCTTCTCCGTCAGTTTATATGTTCAAAAAAACTCAGATTATCTACAAAATAATGGACTGGTTCGATTACTATAAAAATTAGGTTATTTTGAATAGAAGTTTTGAAAAACAAAACCACATAAAATGAATGTCTCAGGTAATGTATTGGTATTTCCTCCTAAGCTGCTATGAATTTCGATACAAAATTACCTGAAATTGTCTAAGAATCCACCTTACCCCTCTTCCATTATGAACTCCTCACCACACCTTACGACCTTGACTCGTACAAATGAAAGTTTATTCACACATAATGTCTTCATGTCAAAGAATGCTATATTAAATAGGTATTTACAAAATACTACAACAAGAAATGATTTTCTGAATAGCGTAATTGAAATTGATATCAATCATCTATGATAATTTCCTGAATGAATTCGAGATATAAAATACAGTATTCATCGAAAGTCATTTTTTGTGGAGGAAAATTAATATTTCATCTACCTATTTTGGGTAGCCAAGTGATGAACAGGCGAATGTGGGCATTCAATAAGAAATGCTGTGATCCGCTACCCGTCAACAGGGATGAGTCTTTGATTAATTTGGCTAGATAGAGTAAAGCAAGAAGAGACATGAAAATATCGTTGACAAATAATATGTTAGTCACGTGCTCCCACGGCCTCTTGAGTACGCTATGAAGCCTTTCCATTTTTCCAGTGTATCATATATCATTTCTCCTTTTGTATCCGTCTCTAAATTTCTGGCAAATAGTAGTTCTTGATATATTTTCTAATTTTTAATAAACATTGTCAATTTTCCCAACAGTTTCGAACTGCTTGGCGAAATTTGGGAATGCAATATTCTTGGAGTAGATTATTGACAACTGTTTCTTGACCATGATGGTGATGGTGATGGTGATTTCATGTATGGCATTCAATATGACAGGTCTTTTGATGTTTTCATTCACAAACGCATTATCAATTCTTTCATAACATTTTATCAGTCCTACGGTTTCATCAAATGAATAATCAAATATGTACAATTTATTTGACAGCGTCAATTCTCCCTTTCTTTCGAGAATTAATATTTCTTCAGGGTATGATTCAAACTGTACCTTTTTCCATAACTGAATGTTTGCTCTGTCCAATTCCAGTACATCAAGTTTCCTAACTTTTCTGTTTTTTCTGCAATTATCCACGAATCTGAACATCCATGCGTTTGAACGTAGTTATTTTTGCCATTTTGAAAAATGTTCAACTTATGGATTTCACTAAGCACAGTCTTTACGCAAAAAAAATCTTTCCATGTTTCTAATTCTGTTTGATCGAAACATTGCTTGATCAAACAGTCTTTTCTGCAAACATCTTCTTTCGGCCAATATTCAAAATATTTCCATAGAAAGTCAGGACTATTTATCCATCTGCTTTCAGCTGGGAAATTCATTTTACCATTACATTTGGTTGATCTGCAACGTTCTGCTTTGACGGAACATACTTCCACTCAAAAACATTGTCTTATTCTTGTATTTCTCCAAGGGGTTGTGCAACGAACATTTTAAATCGTCTTGCTTCTGAACATATCCAATGGATCACGGTTTGTGAATCAGTCCAATATAACGTGTTTGAAATATCGATTTGTAGAGATTTGATCAAATGAGAACCCAATCTAGCTCCCATCAATGCAGTCTGTAATTCCAGGCGGGGTATTGATCAAGGTTTTAAGAGTGATACTCGAGTTTTGGTATTCACGAAGCAAACTTTCACATTTTTGTTTTGTTCCCAACGAATGTAACCTACAGCAACGTAGGCGTTTTTAGAAGAAGCACGAAAAATGTGAAGTTGAAGAGTACTTTTCTCCCTTTCCATCTTGCAAAATTGTCGTGGAATTTTGAAGTGATGAATACTTTTTAGATCGTTAATCTATTCTGTCCATTTCATGTACAAGTTATCAGAAATGTCATCATCCCAGTCGATTTTACTTCTCCAGATATCTTGGAGAAATATTTTACCTTTGAATTGAAGGGGTTATATTTTACCTTGTACCATGAAATTTGCTAAGAATCCTAGGGGATCAAAAATCGACATCACCACTTTCGAATTCAATTCCATTCTGAATACACAAACATAATATGTAACAATCATGCAATCTAGATTCCATATCAATTTTGTGACCATATCCTGGGAAAATCACAACTACGGTTGCTGAAACCTTGCAAATTGAACAAAATTAACGTCAACGACTTCAGCATCCCTGAACATGAGATGACCCAGTATTCAGATGAACTGGACAAACTTCTGGATACCATTATAAGAAGAAACACACATTTCATTCATAAGTTACGATTTTTCATGTCATGTAATAAATTTGATCTACTTATGTCATCGATGACATCGTAATGATATTCATTCACCTATTTTATTGAATCCCAGCCAAAAGGAATCTTGCTTAATCTGAAAGGGTTATATTTTTAGGGGTGACTAATTTTTGGGAAAGTTTTTGGCTTTCTACTACTCCATCTTGATGATAGGGTGAATTTTTTTGTGTTATTTTCGTTTTACATTGAGCGATTTCATGAATATTATATGGTATTGTATGATATCACTATTTTATTCATCATAACGTGTTCTAACACGTAAAAACGACTTCATTTATATATGAAAATTTAAAATGTTATCTTCTCTGGAATATATATGAACCTATGACTGATACAATTTCATCCGACTTCAATCGAACAAATAGTACTATATTTCTTCATATGATACTACAATTTCAATTAGTGCAACACCGAACCTACTTCTCGCTCAAGACAAATCATCAATAACTGCAACAACACAAAGTACAAAAAATAATAGAATACAAATAATTAGAATCCAATAGAATACTAAAGATTCTTTGATTAGAATGGAAGGTAATGGTGAAAGGGAATTTGAAAATTAAAAAAATCATGTATATATACTTAGATGTACACATATACTTTTACAAAATAATGAAAAGTATTCCAAAAAAATTGTCAAAATATGAGGTGAGTTTGGTTTATCTTTTTGTGTTCTCATTTCTTCCTCTCCCATTGCCTTTTACTCTCTTTTTAAATTTACTAAATAATCGGCTTTTTATGTTTTGGAATTTTTTCATTTCATCCCAACTCATATCAGGAATAATTATATGAAATGTTTGAAAAAAATTTCAGATTCTGCCTATACAGAACGATTCATGGGCCTTCCAAATGTAACCGATAATTATAAAGGTTATGAAGAAGCTGATGTCAGCAAGAAAGCATTCCAGTTGAGGGATAAAATGTTTTATGTCATTCATGGTACAGCAGATGATAACGTTCACTTGCAACAAACCATGGCTCTGGTAAGGAGTTTGTCAGAGACAGGAGCTTTATTCAGGCAGCAGGTAAATTTCTAACACTCTCATAGACTGAGAAGACATTTCGTAGTATTTCTGAAATTTATTTATTGTTAAAATATACCTTTTCATCGATTAGATTCAAGTGATCCAGAATTTGTGTAACCGGATTTCACATGATAGTTCGTACTGAAACCTCTGGCGTGAAATGAATCTATTGAAAACACTTTCCCAACACCAGAACAAAAATTACGGTCTCTCTATGTGCGTTTCGCTAACCAAGTTAGCGTCCTCAGGAAATTATTATGACTAAAATGTACTACGATGTTAGGTTAGGTTAGTATTATCTGACTACACCGGTTCGTATTACCTAACTACTACCTATTATTGATCCTATGCTAAACTACATGTTTTCAATACCTCTAATTTGTTATGTATTTTATATATGTTCAAACAGAGGGCTGTTCGAAATAGGACCTTTGTCGCTATTCATAGAACTCATTCTGCACTTTCCGATTCCCAAGCTTTCGAAGGCATCTAGAAACCTGTTATCATGTACCGGTATCAACAATTTTAAACATTTTTCATTTATTCTATGGTCGTTCTATATGGCATGTCGAGCAACACCAGATTTCTCTGGTCTATGTAACCGAATATGCGAAACATGTTCTTTGTAGCGAGCTAATATAGTCCAATATGTTTTTCATCACAATCCTCGCAGCTTATTTCGTAAATCCCATACTTGTTGAAGTGTACGTGCAGTTTTGAAAGCCACTCTCATATTCAATTTTTGAATGTTCGGACCAACCCATGGGTGTATCTGGTATCTGTAGAGTAGGGAGGGTGAGTGTAGACTTACAGCACTTAGGCCACATGTACCCATTGTACATCCTCCCGAGGAGTTGTCCTCCTAGGTCATCGTCCATCCTGTCCTTCTCAGGAAGGTGAACAGGTCACTAGGAGCCCTCCGCGAAGGTTTTCGGAAAGTGCAGCTATATTACTGTCGTTGCGCGGCTTCTCCAACCTTCTTGGGGTTTCCTCCGTGGAGGTGCACAAGTGAGGGAGCTTTCCTGCAAGGGCAGCCGGTTCCTTGCCTTTATTCAAAGCGCTCTTGGCGCCCGCCACAGGAAGTGCCCTTGCTGTTGGAGGTGAACTGCTATGTCCAGCCTTCTGTTCATCCCCAGCCACCGCCTTAGATTGAGGTGAGCACTTCTGTTCAGCCTCGGGATTAATTTTTGTTTTTGTTTTTTCTGTTTTTGTGTGGTTCCATTCATGTGTGTTTCCATGAGTAGCAAAGAAAGAGTTGGTCACCTCTGGCAGAGGCCCGCATTACCAGAGGTAGGCTGATTACAATGAGGTTTCGCCCAGTTCCCCAAGGGGATCGTTCGTGACCGCATATCACCCTGCGGCCATTCAGCTAGAAAGGTGAAACCTCGTTAGTCTTCAGCACGCACAAGTTTTGACTTCTGAGGGTTGTCGTTCGTAGGGGTGCGACAGCTGGTTAACGAAAAACGAAAAAACATGTTAGAAAGCATGTTAAATGAAGGGTCTACAAACTGAAATGTGGATATGACACAAAAGTTTATATAGGAAGACCTTCAAGAAATTTCTAACAAGAAGCTTCGAACATCAAAGAAGTTTTGAGGTAAAGAAAAGACAACCTATGATTCTCACCTTTTAGAAGATAACCACGAATTCAATATGGACTACGACACATTACATACAGAAAATGAAGAACAAAAATTAAATCTGCTGGAATCACCAGATATCAACGAAAGCAAATATTAAAAATAAATCCCAAGCGACGAACAAGAAGTTATTCATTCACCCGTTATTGAACTTGTTTTTATAGAGTGTAAATTATTGACTTATTAATAATTTATCTGATTTCCTAAAAGTAATATCAAATTGTAATTGTTTGTTCGAAATCAACCTGTTTTGATAGAAATAGTCATTCAAGTTGTAAATTACTTACTTGAAATATCATTTGGTATATCATAAGAAAGATATGAATCTGAATCGCCAGAATGAGTTTTGTGAATGGTTGCTGATAAAAAGTCAGGAAGATCCACAATTTATAAAATAATAACCAAATGGATTATTCAACGTCTTAATATACTTGTGATGCACTGTTTGAAACTTCTAGTTAGTATGATAATGAATATTACTGGAGCTTTTTCTCAACACCAAAGCGTTATTAAAACACCTCCACACGTGCTTCGATCACCAAGTGATCATCTTCAAGAGGAAGATCAAACTAATTATTCTTGCAAATTTTTCCTTATTTATGCTATAGATACCTCGTCTAGGTACCTGCGTCTTAAGTGTCTTAAATGAATTTCACAATATTGTTACGACAATTCTTAAATTAATTTACAATGTGTCCTAAAGCACTAGTCAGGTAAATCTGATAAAATTAAACTATTATGTTAACAAGCTATATGGTATACTATCAGGTATTGGTCCACCACCGTTATTCATAATAGAATTATGTTAACTTATTTCTACACTCTCATAGGCATCTAGATACATGTTGTTAACTTGTCTGACTTATCTCAATGAACTGAAGTCTATGGAATAGTTTTGTTGCAAAAATTATGGGCGACTGCTGATTTTTCAAGTTTGCTATGTCTTCCTTGTATCTTATTGTATTTAATTTTGTAAATTTCAGTCTATTCTGAATTCTCGACTTTGTCTTTTCGACTTCCTAAAAAGCTCTGTAGTGTACGACTTGTTCTAAAAATCACCTTCAGACCAAGTTCCTAGAAAATCTTTCCAAAGTTCTTCATGTATTGGTGGTATGGAACTGACATATATTTATCTTGGTTTTTGTCGATTTTGAAAGTCGAGATTTCCTTTATTCTCAACCCAAACTTTCTCCTCCTTATTATATTATCTACAATACCCCTCGAGAAACCATTAGTGGCTGCTATTTCCTGTATTATACGTTTTCTTTTGTGAACCTCTCATATGTGAGTGGAAAAGTCAGAAGATGATACACTAATACATCGTCTTTTGAGATTCGATTTCAATTACGATATTCGGAAATTCATTGCGTGTTGTTGTTTATTCGAAATTCCGATTTGATATTTGATAAAGATACTGGACTAGTCCATTATGTGTAGATAACCTCTCATTTGTATGACAAGTCAAGGTCGGTAGATGTGGTGACGTATTCATTATGAAAGAGGGGGAAAGGTGGATTCTTAGACAAGTTCAGGTTTTTTGTGTCAAAATTCATAGCAGTTCGAGAGGGAATATCAATACATCAACTCAGATATTCATTTTGTGTGGGTTTTTTTTTATCAAAACTCCCATTCAAAATAATTTCATTATTATAGATATCGGATCAGTTCATTATTTTGTAGATAATGTGAATCTCAATTGTATGACACATTCAATGTTGTTTGGGTGTGCAATTAGGTGAGTCCATTATAAAAGAAAGTGATATGAAATTACAAAGTAACCATACTTTCAAATATGAAAAATCGTCATGAAATGATTCAAATCCATTCAAGCAAATACATGAAAATTAAACTATTATGTTAACAAGCTATATGGTATACTATCAGGTATTGGTCCACCACCGTTATTCATAATAGAATTATGTTAACTTATTTCTACACTCTCATAGGCATCTAGATACATGTTGTTAACTTGTCTGACTTATCTCAATGAACTGAAGTCTATGGAATAGTTTTGTTGCAAAAATTATGGGCGACTGCTGATTTTTCAAGTTTGCTATGTCTTCCTTGTATCTTATTGTATTTAATTTTGTAAATTTCAGTCTATTCTGAATTCTCGACTTTGTCTTTTCGACTTCCTAAAAAGCTCTGTAGTGTACGACTTGTTCTAAAAATCACCTTCAGACCAAGTTCCTAGAAAATCTTTCCAAAGTTCTTCATGTATTGGTGGTATGGAACTGACATATATTTATCTTGGTTTTTGTCGATTTTGAAAGTCGAGATTTCCTTTATTCTCAACCCAAACTTTCTCCTCCTTATTATATTATCTACAATACCCCTCGAGAAACCATTAGTGGCTGCTATTTCCTGTATTATACGTTTTCTTTTGTGAACCTCTCATATGTGAGTGGAAAAGTCAGAAGACGATACACTAATACATCGTCTTTTGAGATTCGATTTCAATTACGATATTCGGAAATTCATTGCGTGTTGTAGTTTATTCGAAATTCCGATTTGATATTTGATAAAGATACTGGACTAGTCCATTATGTGTAGATAACCTCTCATTTGTACGACAAGTCAAGGTCGGTAGATGTGGTGACGTATTCATTATGAAAGAGGGGGAAAGGTGGATTCTTAGACAAGTTCAGGTTTTTTGTGTCAAAATTCATAGCAGTTCGAGAGGGAATATCAATACATCAACTCAGATATTCATTTTGTGTGGGTTTTTTTTTATCAAAACTCCCATTCAAAATAATTTCATTATTATAGATATCGGATCAGTTCATTATTTTGTAGATAATGTGAATCTCAATTGTATGACACATTCAATGTTGTTTGGGTGTGCAATTAGGTGAGTCCATTATAAAAGAAAGTGATATGAAATTACAAAGTAACCATACTTTCAAATATGAAAAATCGTCATGAAATGATTCAAATCCATTCAAGCAAATACATGAATTGTGAGATGTTTCAAACTCAGCTTCAATATTCTGAAACGAAAACACTCTGTATTGATTGGACGGTATCCGGTCGGTTAGACGTGGGTGCTTTGTTCACTCACTCAAATCGACCGCTGTGTTCATCGTTAGTTCTAGCCCCAGGCTGAATGATCAATTTTCACTTTCTATCGTCCAACCCGTGTTAGGAATCACACTTTAAAAGGTGAGACCTCGTTAGTCCTTAGCTCGCATAATTTTCGACTTTTGAGAGTTGTCGTTCGTAGGAGTGCGACTGCTGGTTAACGGAAAAACATATTCATATTATTTCAAATTCATAGACAATAGAAAAAATGCTCGATGCGGATGCGTATTGAGTATTTTATCTCAGTATGGTGACCAGGGCAAAGTTACAACCTCAGCA